TTTCGCTTGCGATTTACATCCAAAACGATATTCAACTTGAGATTGTTTCGATGCTGCTTTAGCTTCGAGTTGATATTGACGTGCTTGATTTCTTAATGATTGAGCTTGAGTAAGAATACTAGGTTGCAATGACGAAGATCCAGAATTGAAAGTACAAGTTGAATTATCACTATCGGTAAGAATAGAGGATAGATTACCCATAATTCAGTTCAGTCTATAATCGAAACGCATAAACTAAAAAGTAATATGTTGCATGTGTCGCAAACTGCTTCTTTGGCAAGCATGTTAGCGACTTAACAACGATTAGATTATGGGCGTGCCTGTTGCTTGAAAGTTAAGAGAGTTCAGAAACATATTTCAGCTGAAGTGTAAAACTTACTTCCACTATTGCAGGTTTAGTGCGCAATATACAGAACTGACGGGATGCAAGAAAAAAGTCATTAAATCTTCGCGAGGAAAAGACAAAATTTCATCCAAGATTGAAGCATATATACCTCTACCTAAGACACAATTCACATTCACTCTAAAAAAAATCGGTTTTTTACTGAACCCCCAAAAAAGGTTCCGGAGATGTTTAAAAGCGTCCAAAGATGTCCAAAGTCTCAAAAAAAGGATAAAAAAATCTACGAAACCTTTAAAGGTTCTTACCGTGTACCCAGGATAAGAACCTTTTGCTGCGAAACCTTTTTTTAAGTTCCGTACAGCAGAAAAAGGTTTCGTAGGAAAATACGAAACCTTTAGAGTTTCATATTAAACCCTAATAGTTTCGTACTAAATCCTCATGATTTCGTAGAATTTAATACGAAACTCTAAAGGTTTCGTATTTTCCTACGAAACCTTTTTCTGCTGTACGGAACTTAAAAAAAGGTTTCGCAGCAAAAGGTTCTTATCCTGGGTACACGGTAAGAACCTTTAAAGGTTTCGTAGATTTTTTTATCCTTTTTTTGAGACTTTGGACATCTTTGGACGCTTTTAGATATCTCCGGAACCTTTTTTGGGGGTTCGGTAAAAAACCGATTTTTTTTAGAGTGCCCCCTTAGTCCCCTTAGTCCCCTTAGTCCCCTTAGTCCCTTATTTTAATTTGAAATCAAGTGCTCTTTTTTCTGTTTAAATTCAGATTGAAATCAAATAACCCATAGTATGTAAGAGAAACATGTTTAGTACAATATTGTTAAACATCCGACTATACTTTGATAGATAAACAAAACGAAAAATGAACTCTAATCTCAAAAATATGA